ACACAAGCTACAGCGCTCAGTGAGGTTGCCTCGGGAGTGGCAACGAAACCAGTACGCCAGGATTCGTCACATCCTGCGTATTTGCAGGAAAGGACAACTCAGCACTCTGGCAGTGTTGCTTCAAACACTGCAGATGTCATCATGATCGACTAGAATAGAGGCTTTTGAAATGGAACCCATATTTGCACAGGTCCATATCTTTATTAGTCCACTTCATATATGAATGCCTCAAGGCACCTTTAAGGATTGTGCTTCTATTTGTGAATCTCGTATGCTGTATTTTCTGTAATTAGACACATTACACTATACACCTCAACGACTAATGCTCATCTGTCGGGACCCCCTTTCCTTCCCCATTCCTCTTGGAGTTTTGTGGTAATAAATGCTTTCAATGCGAGTTGAATCCGATGAGCATTCTACAGCGTGAGGTCTCCAAGCATGATGCGATAATGAAAGTGAAGGTGAGCCCACATCGTGTCATTGCCTTATCAGACAAAGAATGTTCTCCGGTCTCATTACTCTAGAGAAGTCTATTGCCTGCCTGATGACTCCTAACCTGGCTAGTGGTAATTCGGTGGCTAGAGTATCATTCTTCATATCTATAAGTCACTCAGGTGTCGCATTTGACTAATAACGCTCTTCTCGGACCCGTCCCCGGTTTTTGAGAGCGTCATATTCTATCCATTGAACGCAAGTAAGACCATTTCCTGAAACAACCCTTCCTGGGTTCATAACATGGCAGCCTTCGTACGTCATGCAAAATGGAACAGATTCTGGGTCAGCCAAGATGAGCGCGGTTGGCAGTGGATATAGCTGAAGTGAAGATGCATAGTCCCAGAGAACGGGTCGCAAAGAGAGTGGGAAAGGCGATAAATTTCCTTGATCTAGGATGGTCTTCACAAGCTTTCGAGCAATCGATGTTGTAGAAGGCATTGTATTGGCGTCAGTAGATGTATTTTGGGCTTGGGGAGCTGGCTGATCTTTAACTTCCGAGCCGCTGTTCCCATTGGTGTAAGTCATGTCGCCTGGGCCGACCTTGATTGCGCTGCGTCGAAGCCTACTCGATATGTCATCTCGAAATATGGCGATGTCATGGAGAGGTCCGAACAGGGTCAAACGCGCAGGATTAGAAGTCCATATTGCTTCGCCAGGCGGCTCAGACGTCTCGGAGCGATCAACATGTGAATTTGCCGCGGCAAACGCACGTCTCACTCTGGTAGTGAACAGTTCGGGAATAGCATGGCGTGGTACTGTGGAAGCAGCACCAGCAGAGAAAGCTGAGGACCATGGATCATTGTCACCTGGGACGAAAACGAAGCTCGAACGCTGTAGCAGCAGAGGGAATTCAGAGAGCGTTAAAGATAATGCATCAAAGTATTCTTTGTACTCGATACTGCCTGACTGACCACTGCTGCTGATTATTGCTTTCTGCACAAAATTTCCGATAAGGACGAATGCTACCGGAAGTTCGACCACATTAAGGCTGCTGTAGTAGCTAAAAACCTTTTTCAAGGCGTCCAAAGTCCCCATGTCGTCAAGGTTGACCTCACTCATGATCGCCATCTTGAGTCGCCGACCATCCTCAACGTTGTCGTGAACATTCTCTAAATATTGAGACTGGATTCGCCTCATGCGTGGGCCTTGCGCCCGCTCACTCCCAACCCCCAGGAAGTCTACCCAGCCAAGACCTCCGCTCGAGCTGATTTCACTATTGCGTTGTCGGTTGCTTGTCCCCAAGGTGATGTCGCGGCGCTCACATGGCGGTCCACAAATAGAAATGCCCATGAATTTCCCTCCGATGGCTCCACCAACGCCGGAATTACCACCGAGTGAAGATCCCTTAACATGTGCTTCCTCTTCGTAGACTCCATCTACAAGAGCAAACATCCCAGGGGCAAGCCAAGAACCGTCTTCCGGGACAATTCGCCCATGACTCAGATCAAGAACAATACTTCCTGTTTGGTCACTTAGAGAGAGCTCCCCAGTGGGTGACACTGAGAGTAAGCCAAGGATTAGGTGGGATGTCCCGCTTCTTCCCAGCAGATTGGCAACCGGGGTCAGTTTATAGCCGGTTGATGATGTTCGCTGTGATACCGACTGACTAGAAAACCCTGATGATGCTTGGAATGACTCGTTCCGAAGGAGCCGTTGGTGAACGATGTTGTAGCGGTCTTTGAAAAAGGCAGTTTTATGAGACGGCGACGGAAAGAGTGAGGGCTTTGATTTAGCAATCTCGAAATACTTCATATCCCCATGATATGTCAAGCGTGGAATATCAAATGCCTCAATAATCCTCAACCATTGCCTTGGATGTAGAGCCAAGTCAGCTTCATCGGACTTTCCGCCTTCAAGGGTGTTTGCTGCAAGAACAGTCTCCGAAATCAAACCCCTGCTGTCCAAGTTTGGACTGCGGCTTAAGGTTGCCTCTTGTGCTGATGTATTCTTCCCCACGACCATTCTCCCTCCACTCATATTACCCTCCAGGATTTGCAATATAGCCTTCAATGAGGCCCCTTTACCTTCATCAACAATCACACCACCTCCGGCTTTCCTCCAGCTCTTGGCAACTTCATCCAGCACACGTTCAGCAAGGCCCTCTTCCCGCCATCCTGAGCCACAATTTCTTCCCACGAAAGTTGCTAAGATCTGGAGAGCAGATGATGAGATCGTGAGGTTATGCTTCCGCGTAAAAGTCCGAAAGGCTACAGGACGAAGGGTAGAGGGTGGAAGTAGAATGGGAAGTATCGAGGTTCGCGTAGGAGCGGGATTGGGTCTGGTCTTTCGAAAAGGGTGCGCAGGAGTGCCAAACCCAGGCGACGATGAAGGAACCGGATCCAGATCCATGATTGAGGCTCGAGATGGATGTGGTGTCAGGAGAGACAACTCAACCTGTTCTTCCCAGTATGGGTAATCGCAATTGACCCTCGTAAGCAAAAGCGTGATATACCTAGAATACCCTTTGATTCGTTGTTGTCTGTCAAATGTGAGTCCTAACAATGGTCGCGAGTGGAAACAATTCAGTACCGAATCCGATAGCTAACTATCTTGCCCGAGCGGGACGCGAGGTTGTCGCGCGGCGCACGCGCCTTCCCGCGATTACTTATCGCATGTCCCGCGGAAGGTCTTTTATTTCTTTTCGTCGAAAAGCTTGTCAAAAACCATTTGACGCTGACCTATATGCTTAGGCGAGTCGATTTAATCTACTTGATATATTATATTCCCCTTCCCGGTCCTTTTCCTCTGGTTTATCGCCCTCCTTGTTCAAAGGCTCGATTCGCCCTGCACAGTTCATTGCATCCTGCATCCGGTTGAGCTCTGTATGGGTTGTCCATCCGATGTCTCTGATGATTTTTCCTTCAGACTGCTAACTAGGGCTACAAGCATATTCATATCTATAGTCGATTCCTTCAGATAGCTAACATGGCTGAAACAAATGACTTGGGTGTCGCCCCACCACGAGGAGATTGCGACGGTGATGACCGGGCGTCCTTGGACAATCTCATCATTCAAGCTGCAGCGAAAGACGCAATCAAAGATTTCAGTGCGGCCGCGGAGCTTTATTCCGAGGCTACGGAGCTTCAGGCGAAATTGAATGGCGAACTAGCACTCGACAATGCCGATCTTCTCTTCGCTTACGGAAAAGCCCTTTATAATGTTGCTGTTAGTAAGAGCGATGTTCTTGGATCAAAGGTGGCCACCGAGCCCCCCTCGCAATCAAACAAACCAACACCGAAAGCAGAGAGTGTCATTCAAGATGCTATTGTCCAGGCGCAGTCTGCAGAACCAGGATCTGAAGTCAAAGCCAAGCCGACCGATGATACGAGCAGACCATACTTTCAATTTACAGGCGACGAGAATTTCGACGATTCCGACACTGAAGACGAAGATGATCCCCCGCTTGTCGAGGAGGAGGAGGAGGAGGATGACTTTGCCAATGCCTATGAGGTTCTCGATTTGGCGCGTATACTGTATCAGAAGAAGCTAAACGCGTTTGAGGAGGATGTCGGGAAAGGGAAATCTGTGGAGGCACCCTCAAACCTCAAGCAAATCAAAGAACGACTTGCTGATACGTATGATCTACAAGCTGAGATTTCACTGGAAGCTGAAAGGTTTGCGGATGCAGTGGCAGATTTGAGGACAGCCCTGAGTCTAAGACAGTCGCTGTTCCCCATGGAAGACCCCTCCGTTGCCGAATGCCATTATAAGCTTTCCCTCGCCCTCGAATTCGGATCGGTGAGCAAAGCTAACGACGATGCTCAAACTGAAGATGGTAAGGTCGATGAGGAAATGAGAAAAGAGGCCATCATACAAATGGAGCACGCTATTGAAAGTTGTCGAGTCAGAATGGCCCAGGAACAAGCGAAATCGGATATGAATGTCTCCCCAGATGAGGTTCAAGCCATCGCCATGAAAAGAAAGATAGCTAATGTGAAGGATATTATTTCCGACATGGAGCAAAGGGTAAGCCCCCGCCTTGCATTTCTGTTTTTGCTGGGAGTCGACCCTCACATCTAATTGACAGCTCGTCGACCTCCAACGCCCTGTCGCCTCATCCTTGAAAGCTAGCGATATGGAAGATACCATGCTCAGAGGCATCCTGAGTCAAATTGTAGGACAGCCTGTTTCTGAACGAAAGGCTCGACTTGACGCAGTCACCGAAAATGCAAATGACTTATCTGCGTTTGTGAAACGAAAGCCTACTAGCGCTTCTGGGCCCCAAACTGGGGAGTCGACCAAAAGGCGTATGGTTGGAGATAAGACCCAAGTCTGCGAAACGAAAAGAGCCCGAACGACCGACCTCGAGGATACGAGATAATGACTGGTGAATTCCTTAATCTCACGTCGATTTCGTCCGTATCTACGGGCTCCGCCCTCCACCTCTCCACAACAATGCAAGTTCTCAACGTGAATTGACATCGAGTTTCGTTGATAGTGAATTATGATACCCAGTTGATCAAGGACATTGTGCATGAATAATACAAGATGGAATTGTAATCATCGGGTGGACGGCGCAACCAATGATGACGAACGCTGCGCCCTGTAGAACTGCAAAAGCTGGACGGCAAGGTGCAACATCCGGACGAAGTTGAAGACTGACAAGATACACTCGCTCTTGCGAGTTGTCTGGCATGGAAACTGGTTTGATGCACAGTGCTCCCAGATCGGTGATATTGTAAGTTTGATCATGATGGGTTGTGTCTAAACCTAGAAAGATAATGTTCCATTTTGCGACTTTTGCGGCGCATAGCTAGACCAGGACTCCAGATTCCCGCGAAGAGATCTTCGCATTCATCCTCATCCTGGCTGTCGAACTCTATACCGTCTTCCAATAAGCTTTCCCGGTGTTCTTCAGAGCATGGGGTCTCAGAATCGAGAACCAGATTGACCTTCGGTGCAGACTCCCAGAACGGCGACGTTGTAATTTTCTCGGTCTCTAGTATGAACTTGCCGACCTTGTAGCGTTGCGATTCCTCCTCTGCGGCAACATATTTCCAGCCGAGTACAGTTCCACAGAGGGCACAATTTAGATCGCTCACCATGTGCGCACCGGTCACCAATCGACGAGGTACGGGTTTCTGCACGATGGTATTTGGGAGACAGTCTGTTGCTGCGGAAGATGGACTAATAGAAACCGCACTGGCAATGGTTCGTGCAGACACAAGCAGCGCGCGGCCATGACGGCCAGTGAAGCCTTTGCTGATTATCTGCGACGTCAAGCATAAATCTGCCGCGCAATGAGAGCAACGGATACAGGATACATGGCCCATCAAGAATTTATTGGTGTCGTTACTCCTCTCCTCCAAACAAGGTATTGGGTCTAGTCCTGATGGTGGCCCCGGGGTTTCAACCTGTCTGGGGCGCAAGATACCTGGACGAAGTAGAAACTTAGGAAACATCAGAGCTTCTACCACAGCTGTGATTGTATTGCAGGTACAGTCAACAGAAGTACCATCAGAGAACTTGTGGGTGATCGGAAGAATTTATTCTGAAAATCGGACACCTCATAGCTACTGCTATAGCATAGGTCATTAGATAGTCCTGAGGTCATCTCCGCGTGATCCGCCGTTTGTCCCTTGGCGCCCGCAACATCAGCTATCCCCGTGATAAGCTGATTTATTACAGGCATGTATCGTAGGAGAGCCGATATGCGAAAACTGAAATTACTGAACACACTATTGCATGTTGAACGAGTTTTGGGAGTACACTTAAGCCTACAATGAGTCGATTTGCTTATAGAGGGGGACCAGCAAGCATTATCAAATTGTGCCGGATATTTCAGATGATTAGGACATGCTAAGAAACAGGAAAGAGTGTTGTTCGACGCAAGGTAGACAAGTAAATTGCTGCGCAGAGTAAATCACCGCTACACATGTAGCCACAATATCATTAGACTCGAAATTTTCAAGCAAAGCGGGCATATTCGTTTGATTATACCTCGGCGCTTAAGAAGAGCCACTTATCGCTCAAAGTATGACTGAGGTCATTTTCGACACTCCATTGTTGCAGGGTAGTTAGATTAAAACCACACCACCCAAGGTTCCTGACGATTTCGAGCTCGACCGCACTGTGCGAACGCGGGATACAAGCAACAATTTGAAGGCATTGAAATGCACTAATACTTGCAAGCTCGAATAATGCCACCAGACTAGACGATGTCAAGATTAGTAAGTACCTATGATGGTTATGAAGGCCCGACCAGGTTTGAGATCACATACCCAGTTTTGAGGCCGTGGCCCAAAGTTTGGTCAGAGAAGAACACAAATATAGTTGGTTGGCCATCATTCGTGCTAGTCACGAACCCTCGATAAGTAACGTCGTTCGTGTAATCCAAAACTTCAAGCCAATGCTGGATCGGCGTGTGCGTGGCCTCGACAATTTCTGGCTGGCTTTGATACGCACCCATCCCAGGCGACTCCTGCTCCGTAAATCTCCTCTCACCAAGGAATATCACAGACAGGTGCTCGCAGAAGAGCCTCTCACACTCTTCCGGAATAGCATGCGTTGCCTCCCCTTTATGCTCCGATAAGTTGTTCCCTGGCCAGCTGATTCCCAGGCCGGGAATGATGGACAAGTCAAGGGGAGGACGTGAAGACGGCTTAAACCCTGAGGGGACCTCAGGGATACCACTGTGCTCCTGGATGCCGTGCTACATTAGCATGTGTCGATGGAGCAGGCACCTTCCTTGGGAAAGAGTATCTTACCGGTGCCCGTAGTGGTGCAGTAGTGGAACCCAGTAACTGTGGAGGTGATAGTGTTCACACTGTAACAGCTTGCAAGAACGCTGACCCGACGGGATCTCTCCGAGCACCGTTGCAACTGACTATCACTACTACTGATATCGTTTGATGATTTGGCCATGGTGGGAACTTGATGAAGGAGAGAGACTAGGAAGTGGTTATACGGTTAGGAGGACTTAGGAATGTTGTAAGCTTAGTAAGACTTCTTGAGTCACCGGATTCTTCGATGACAGCTGGGCCGTCGAAAGGATAACAAGAATGAAAATCTTTAGGAGAGATTTTGCAACTCAATAAGGTGACGATGTTAGCTGGCAGATTTTTGTAATCGACAGCCTCAAGGGTTGAAGAAGTGACAGGTCACAGAAGGGGGCTACGGGTGGATCCGTCCATTCTGATACGCGCGGAAGTACTGTACGTACTTGTATCATATGACTTCCGGGCTGCTGGAAAATCAACCCCCACTCTGCCGATCTCCCGGCGATAGGTAAGTTATCGGGAAGTGTGAGACATACACGGACTTTTACCCCGGATCGAAGGGTGTTTATAGTCAGCACTCTACTACGTACGTAGTTTATGGGTTACGAGTCTGGTCATCACCAAGACGGGTATAGGATATTCATACGGCCTAAAAGGCTTGATTGACCAGGGAAGTTCATTCAAATACGCAAAATGTTAAAGTGGATTGATGCTTGTTAAAGGTACACATACCATGCACTATGAGAATTAGAAATAATGGTAGAACAAAATCTTCCGTGGAGTTGTAATCTAAGCAGGGGATCGGAGTCTGAGGAGATATGAGGATGTCAACGCTGAAGGCAGGATATTCATGAAGCTATGGCCAACACCAGAATATATTCTCAGAGTTCCCGATAATCGCTCGGTCTCGTCCTTCGATGTCTTGCCTGGTGTCGTTGCGGGTTAACAGGCTGACGGAAATATGCAGTGTCTTCTTCTCTGGCGAATGGAGTACTAAACGTAGTTCGCTGCTGGTTCGAAAACTGGCCAATTTCCGGGCCTTGCGAGAAGTCGGTATTTGGCTGGACTGGCCCATTCATCTGTGACATAGGAAACATACCAAAACTCGAGTCTGCCGCATTGCCAAACATACTTGCGCTATAGCCACCCATTTGATCACCATACATTACACCTGGGAGCTGATTGAAATTCGCACCATTCATCGTGTTCCAAGGCTGGTTGATGTTCGGTGGAAACCCATTGGCCGCGGGAATGCCCATATAATTCAAGAAACCGGCCCCTTCAGAAGCAAACCCAGGAGCAGGAAATGGCATCGCGGGCATTCCTTGGGTTTGCGCGAACCCAAGCCCTCCAAAATTCATTTGCTGACCAAAAGGTGCTGGTTGGAAGCCATTGGGTGAATCTTTAACATGTGTAGCTTGCATCTCGACAGAAGGTTTGCCATAATGCTCACTTGTCTTTTGTTTCTTCGAGAGAGAGCCTGGGCTAAGACCTTCGGAGGCAGTGCTGATAGGCTCACCATCCGCAGGCCTCTTTTTCGAAGCCGTAGGCGCAGTTGACGGGGCTAGGGCAGGTGAGACTTCTTTTGCTGCCACGGAGAATTGGCCTGAAGCAGTTGCTTTGCTGATTGCTTGAGCCTCCTGCTCCACTGGTTGCTTTTCTTTGTCTTTCTTCTGATCTGTCTTCTCGGTTTCGTATTCTTTAATTCTGGCAATGGCGTCATCGTCGACAGACAGGTTATCAAGTAGAACGCCCTCTGTTCCACATCCAGGACAAACGAAGTCACTCTCAATCAATGCATTCGTAATGCAGTCGTTGCAATATGTTTTCCGGCAGCATGGGGTTTTGGTGGGTTCCAGGAACATTCTTTTGTCTATTGGACATTCTAGGCCACGTGCTTGAAGTTCTTTGCTATGTTCTGCCGCGGCAGCTTCGGCAGCAGCAGCAGCAGAAGCCTTGGCTTTTTCTTGGTAAAGCTCCCAGGCGGCCTTGTCTGGTTTTGCAATGACGAAATCGCCATCAGCGTTAACCATAACGCCGGTATTTCTTGAATCTTCATTCGAGCCATCCAGAGTGAGGTTCTCGGGCTTGTCTACTTTGGTTTGCAGCGACCGCGGTATTCCGGTTGAGCGTTTCACTCTGTATTTACCGTCAAATTTGGGGTCGTTATTCGTAGGGCACTCATGTATGAAATGTCCTACACATTTGGTCAGCGAGGCTTCTCCATAAAGCTTGACGCATGAAAAGACTCACCTTTCTCGCGACAGCGGTAACAGATATAACCCGGGGGCATAGGACGCTCTTGGGAAGTCCCAGGCACGATCTTGCCCCTCCCGCGACCGAAAGGGACGGGTGTGGCGCTATACAAGATTAGGAGATTGTGTTGTTATGATTAAAGGTCTGGCCAACCTCGGATTTTTGTACTCACTTCGCCATTTCCTGTTGTTGCTCTTTCCATTGATGCGCCTGCAAATTGAAAAGAGCATTAATCTTTTCCTCTTCAGTCTGGGCATTGTTGAGTTCGAGAACGCCGTTGCTGACGGGTTGGCTATTGAGAGAAGTTCGAATTGATGAAGATTGGTCATTACGAGGAGTGCTGCGCGCATTGACTGGCATTTTCCCGGACACATACCGGGCGGCGCCGCCTTTCCCTGGCCTCGATGCAGGCAACCTCCGAGCTATGACTGAAGTCGATCGCGGTATGATGCTGGTGTCGTCATCGTATTCTACTCGGGAATCTTGTTAGCAAATGTCGGTTACATTCCGCCTCCTTATTATTGAATGCTTGTGAGCAAAGTCAAGAGTCGGCCTCTTGTGGAAACAGATCGCAGAAACTGACTAACCTTCTCCAGTGTCCTCATTGTAGACAGAGAGCTCAAAATCGGTTCCATCACCCAACCTACTTTGATTGATAATCTCTCGTTTCAGCTCGAAGACGGATATACCGGTGCCGTCGAAAGTTACCCGGGAGGGTTCTTTTTGGGACTTGAACTTGAAATGAACAGATGATGACATTTTATTCAATTGGAAGTCCAATGATTGCGTTGTCAATGTAATTAGATCAAAAGGAGAATGCCACTTTCACACAAGATACACGGGAGAACAAGGTAGACAATTGGTAAACAGCAACGAACGGGAGGGCTTGCAGATCACAAATAACAGATTGACTTGCAAACAGTCTCTTGCAATCAACTTCAGAGATCGAAGGACTACCCTTTCTCGAAGGCGTTGCTCGAATATGTAATGAGGACTTCTCTTCTAAGCTGGGTGGTCAAGAATGACTGTATACAGACAAGTCTGACGATTGTGACGAATACAAGGATGATGCAAGCAGTTCTGCAACAAGTCGGGAGAGGATTTCAATAAAGCTTTGAGGGCTTTGCTAGTCCATCAAGCTAAATCTGAGCTAATTAGACTTCCTCTAACCTGCAATGACGACAGATTTAGTAGGGTAACCTCAGTCGTAAGACGATAACGATAGGATTGAATGAATTCGACAGATTATGGGCTCACGAGTGCATGTAGACAAGAGAATGAGGAAGAAGGAAGGACCCTAATATACTCGCGCAGCAAGACTCCTGGGTGACTGTCCGGTCGCGAAAGGAAGCATGCACACAAAGAACAGGTCGATGGCCTGATTCACAGAAGAACCAAATTAAACCAATTTTCAAAGAGTACTTCACTCTGAATATTAAGAGGGACAAGGGGAGGAATGGGCTTGGCGAGATATTAAAAGGATCGTTTGTGGATGGCGACGTCGGTCGAGAGGTGGTGGCAACCATTTAGAGGTAGACAACAACCGGTGGTCTTTCTTTCAATTTAGTCACATGACCAGCTTGTACTTAATACTCATAAGTAACCTGAGCTGACTAACTTAGGTAACTAACTTAGTTCCATGATTAAGTTAGTAAACGGGTCGGCAATTCACTGCATTTAGGCGGACAATACAGTACCATACCCATCAGGCATACAGTGCAATGACTCTCTAATGATTACTCGTAGCATAAATATGCTAACCCAAGTAATCTAACGAATCATAGCTCATATGTTATACAGGAAGCTCTCAAATGGTATCTGAGATCCTGCTGATTTTGTGAGTTTACTCCACATTGTTCTAATTCCGTCCTACAAAGCCCAGCTTCATATTAAACATGGGATTTTTGGGCTTTCTTTGTCAATATAGGCGCGAAAGAGGCCAGGCGATGTCTGTACATCGCTAAGTATACTGAACGTATTTTCATGAAAGGATTGCCGTAAGACAAAAAGATTTTTTTTGCTCCAGATTCGCTAAATACTCGTCTTCGACTTGGATCCCACTTAGATTGGCTGTAAAGCGGGTTATTGCTAACATGTAAAATAAGTAGGTGTTCTATGTTATTTCAAATACACCACAGTATGCTGCAGTAGGTATGCTGCAGGCCTTGTCTTGCGATTATACAGCCAAGTTGAAGCTGATTGGCGAGCACATCACAATTTTCGGCACACCTGTCATGATAGTGTATGTAATACAGTGTGGGCATTCAGATACATAGCAAGTGGACTACACAACTAGCCTACAAATAATTCTGCTCTAGGCCCTGCAATCCATTCTTATAGATTGAGCAGACACCAACCTTAAGATGTATCTTACTTCTCGGCATTGCTAAATAGATCCAACCCTTCATCGTCAAATCCCTACATTCGGCGCAACCGGCAAAGTTAAACGATATGTTGATTGGCTTGTGTGGAGGTTAGCAAAACCGACCTGCAAGAATTTCCTCTCCAAACCCCCTACTCTTCTTCTATCCACCCCCCAAACCAGTGCAGGCTAATAGTTTGGCGAAAGGTATCTGTTCTGGCAAGCATGCAGTCGCCGAGTATCTCATCCGTGAGGAAGGTTTCCAACTACTTGAACTAAAAAGTGGTGGGGCAACTGCAACATTGGATGAGTCTGAATATCTCTATCAGTCACAGCTCTCCCCTCGAAAGGAAAGTCATCCTTCATCAGAGTTTGTATTCGAAAATGCGGAAGCTCTCTTAGATTTTGTAACCCGAAGATGGCAGGGACTTTGGATCACTACAGAAATATGGGAGTCCCCTGTCCTGGATCGTTTTCTGCAGCGCCCTTTTTTCCTTCTAGTGAGCGTCGATGCGCCCGTGAGTCTT